GCAGCAGTTTGCATCCTTAGTAAGTGAAATGTAAGGCATCAGCAGTACGCCGGTACGCAATACCGACGCTTCGCTGCCTTGCAACCACCATCGGTCGCAGGTAGGCTAGGGATACTGCGAGGGTCACCGTACCCCTACGCAGGCTCGAACTCGCGCCGCAAGGTTACAAGACTAGCTCGTTACCTTTAGGATACAGACCGGCATTGTATCCTTAGCACAAAAACTATAACCCGGTAGTCGCGAAAATTGTATCCACGACGCTTTGAGTGGTCAACCACTATCAGCTAATAGCATTCGGACAATATGCTATCATGGCTGTTTAACATTTGAGAACATTATTCACTTTGGCCATCCGTGCCTACCCTCTCCCTTCGTCTTAAACGGACGTCTCGTTTGCTCGCTCGAGCCCTCTTTGTGAGACCATTTTGACTTCATTCACAACGCACTCGATGAAGCCAGGGAGCAAGACCTCATGTTCCGGGCATGTTAACTGTCGCGCCTGCGTTCGTCCGAATCTATACTGACTTCGCCATACCTTCATATCCCAGGTTTTGGGGCTTGAAGCCAGTTCGTGAGTAAGCCCGTGCTTCTACCCTCTTTATTACCCAATGCTGTGCGCACCTAGACGAGCGGATGGCAAGGTCCATGCAACAGGGCTTCAACCGATGGCCCTATGCCGCAGCTGCGTTAAGGTTAAACAGCCATGCCGGCACATTGTCCGAATGTTATTTACTGATAGCGATTGACCACTCAGGGCGTCGATGCGATTTTCGTGACGATCGGGTTACAGTTTTGCGCTAGGGATGCAAGCTGCTGCACTACGGATGAAAGCGATTGCGTTAAGGATGCAATCAATTGAGAAGTGGTATAGTGCGTTGCGTCTAGTTCGCGAGTATCGACAGTATGTTTCGTCTCGTTCGGGGCACAAGTTACGCGGGGTCCGTACCGTTCGTGCCGACCGAATCGCTCGAGCCGACTAGGACAATCAAAGCGACCAGGCCGTTATTTTAGATTTCAATCGTATTGTCGGGTTATCTTCGTCTACATAGTGGAGGAGCATCCACTGTTATGCGGTCGGTACATGCTCCTCTGTGTGGTCTTGTAGCGGCGTAGAGTTTTGACTACGAGTATCAGGATTTCTATTAACCTTTTATGCATACTGTGCATGAGGTTTTTCTGGTTTACAAGAATGGTGTGTTCCTTCTATCTTGTACTGCGTTCTCTCTCCAATTTCCTCTTTTGCTTTGAATAACACCATCTTTGCATCTTCCATATTGGACTGGCTGTGGTTAGAATCAATTTGTTTATGTAAGTCGCACCTCTGCCTTAGTACTTGGACATGCATTTGTGGTGGACTGCAGTCTTGTGAATAGATTGTCGAACCAAGTGACAGCGCACTGTTCGAAGCGGGTGACGTTCAGCTTTTATCGACTTTTACTTTTGATTCCGAACAGTGAACTAATCTGAGCCCACTTCAACGTAGAACGTAGCTTGAATTATATTTCCTTCCCACAGCCTAGCACACAGTGGATTCTTTAACGGATTATTCCAACCGCTCAGTCACTGATCACTTACCAGGCTGAGCTACCCAGTGTATTAATCGTTTGCCATTACCTGCCTGAGTTCCACTTCCATTTCCAGCTATGTATATCTAGGATTTCATACATGAAAAAACGCAGTATGGAGAGGGGGCACCATTATTTGTTCCAAGTGCAGCCTCATTTTTCGCACTGATTACTTTTCATCTCAAAGTAGATCACAGTTTGGATTGAGAATACATGTGGCATTCCATTCACACCTAGATTAACAGTGACACTGCAGCTTGAGCGCTGGTAACAGTCAGAATATTTCCGTATAAAAATGGTTATTGAACCAATGCACTATGAGCATTGAATTTGTCTGGGATGCCTGAACGGTTTTGCTTTCCAACCATTAGTTGGTTAAGGTTGTACGTTCGCCATACCAGATGCATTAACCCGCAATCCTTACTACGACAAATGCCTAGATTTCATTGTACTAGACGATTTCAAGTTCTTTAGCTTTGTCGGAACATCATCATCATCACATGTTAGCTGCAAATGAGGAGCGCCTCAGCTATTTTGCCGTCACATAAAGGGACACTATATATGATAGAAAGCGAGACATAAAGCTCTATAGACCACAAAAAACAACAGGTAGCACAGTGCTTAGTAACCCACTATGCTTTAGGAGTGAGATCGTGGTTGCATTTCCAATACAAGCGAGGGTAGAGGAGACAAAGAAACCTACAACACAACTGCCTTTGAGGTCAACTCTTTAACATCTCAACTAGTGTACCCAACCAAACGTGTTTATCATAATTCGGACCCCAGCCGGGAGACAGCAACCGACGCCAAGTCCGAAGGGAGTCTATCGCTTGCTTTCCCCCCTATTCATTCATCCAGAACCCGGCCGCACAAACCGTTTTCGCCTGTCATGTGTCCTTTAAAAAAGCCACATACGTCCAATTAACAACACTGGCCTGGTGGATGTGATTTGGCACCAAGTAGCCACTGCTCCTTGCCTCTGAGTGGCATTATAATTCAGAAGCATTGTAAACCGCTAATTCTTTGCGGACTAAGTGGCGTTCAAACCACGTAATCGGTCCTGTCGAGACGAGACCTATTCTTAAGGGTGTGTGTTTACGTATCTCTTCGATCTACATGGAGCCCCCGGACTCCTTGTGAGCTACTCCTACCAGGTTAGTCAATGGTTAGAGGGCAGCCAAATTCACTGTCTGGGTTGTAAGTAGAATAGCGTCCATTTCTGTAACACCAAATCATCGCCACCTCCCAATGCCTTGCGGACAGGCTTTTGAGCCATGGGCTTGGTTGAGGTCTCCAATCGTTCTGTATAGGTTTGGGCGCCATGGCTTTATCTGAGGGCACGCACAACCCCGACTATTTCACCAAAAGTCAACCACATCCTGCATCGATCGTCATGCAGCTTATCAAGGGTTACCTTATCTCCTGCATACATGAGGTAGGACAAGCGAAAACGTACTTCTGCTGGTGCATCTTTTCCTTTCCATCTGTTTTACTTAATTCCTTCCAGACCTTCATTTCTAATCTTCCGTCTACTATTCCCAGTTTACTTGACAACAGACGTAATGCCACTAGTTACACCATCTGCAGCTACCTTCTCGCACCACTCACTGACGTCTATCGGCGTTCAGCGTTCGCACTCTAAGCAAAATACGTCAACACGTTCGTTGGTCACCTTATTAATGACATTTGTTGCATTTCCGAAAATAAGATTAATGATCCTCACGGGGTTGTTGAATTAACTGCACCCAGATTGTCCTCTCGCTATTGGTTGTATTCATCCAGAGACGCTTACGTGGCAATCACCCATCAGACAAGGATCGGCATCGTTCTCAACTCCGAAATCGGGTCATCGTTGGTTGATTGGAAGGTTGGTTGGATTCCCGTGAAAAGACGTTTGCAACCCGTTTGACGCACTTCAGCTAAGGTTGATTCGCGATATAGCACTAGACAATGTCTGTTTGTGGTCGCCACTTATACAGCAACCCACTGCAGTGTTGTCAATTTAGATATCATTGCATGCATATGCAAACAGGTCGTCTGGGCTCTAACGATGCTCAGCTAAGTAGTATGGATTTAACTCTGACCGGACGGACATCGGCGAACGTCTGTTGCCGTCTTTCTCTTAATAGCACCGCTTTTGGACACAGTAGGCACCGAAAAGCCACTTGACATCCCATTGCATCAAGCTAGCCCAGGACCCACATAGATTAGTTGCCAAAAGTTGCAGGTGGCCTGCTTCCATCCTGTGTGGTCGCTTGTTTTAGAACACGCACGAGGACTGTGACCATACATTGGTACGCTGTCGTTTTTCCATGAACTTTACCAGTAGGCGTATCAACCATCTCCCTCGATTATTAACTGAGAAGATGTCCCTCTTTTCGGTCAAGCAAGGCTAAACATGGCTTACACCCTTGGTCCGGAGGTGAATTTCCGTTAAGATTGCTACTAATGTCCGAATAGGAATTATTTATGGTATGTAGTTTGTGAGAGCACAGAGCTGGTCTCACTCGACTTATTACAGCACCTTTGATATACCGACGGATCGGAGATTATCGTCATGTTGCACAACTTTGAAGACTGAGTCAGCTCTTTTCGCTTGTGTGCGCAAGCACGGAACTTGAGGGGGTAGGGCATCCGGGCAATTTCCCGCTGACTCAGGGTATGTTCGTTTATTTGGGAATTCAGAGTCCTGCCGATTATGCCTATCTGACTAGCTGCTCAGTCATGCACGCATTGGTCTAGACAGTGTAAGTAGACCCAGGTAGGTTGAGCTTCCTTCAGGTATCGGCACATTTCGGGCTCGCTCATTAAAAGGAACTAATTGCTTTTACGTTGTGATCTGACTCTTCGTGGTTTCCTACTTAGACACTGCGAATCACATCCCTATTTCTCTTCTGGTGGATGGTGCATTTAGATCATTCATACGCCGTCTCGCATCGTTGAGCTCATCCTTTTTACTATTTTGTGTCACATTCCTCATCTTTTAACGATTTCCGCTCACACCAGCCTCTTGAAGGAACGATGCACGGTGCTCACCTTCTCCCAGGACATTTTAGGTCTTTTAAAAGTTACTCTACTGACTTTTATTCTCCTCTCTACTTTGTTTTTATACGTAATGCAAGTATCCAGCAACTCGACATTTCGTTTTTTTGACTCAACCTATCACTCACGCCCTTTTTAGTGCACTGTCATGAAGGTTGTTACGGTATTTATTTTTGTGAGAGTACTTGTGGAATCTTGTTCACTATGGTAATCCTGGGAGTTTTGTTTCAGGTTCCTTTACTTTCAATCTTGATTGTTTGAAGACTGCTGCAGATCCAGTGAGTCAAATATTTCCACGGTACTCTAGATATTATTCCGATGCCTGCTATAGTCATTTTTTTCATAACTGCCATTTTCTCATCATAATCCCGATTCGTTAACTTTTCGTAGGTGAAACTGTCCTACGTGCGCCGACCGTCATCCAATTTTTGATCAGAATACCTTTCTTTCATAGTGATGCACGCCAAATTAGTAGTCACCATCCTGTCAAACTGTGTTGACTTAAATCGGCCAACTCACCATCAGGCGCAGATGGCGCACTTCCTTTCTGGCTTCCCCGAAACACGAAGACCCTGTGCCGTTTCGTAATCAACTGCTAGGCAGTGTCAGTCATTCTCCTCCGATCTCCTTTTTTCTGTGCTGTGATCGATCTGGTTAACGAATGATTCGCATTTTCCTTCTCCACTTCTACTGAAGTAGGTGCTCATTTATGTTCTAAGCTGTCCGTCTCAGTATTCCTCCCAATATTTTCCAACTAGTGCAACGGTATACTGCTTAGTAAGCCAACACAAACGTGTAATGCTTTGTTATATGCATCACACCTTTTCTTGCTCCTTGTTCTCTTGATATTTAAAGTCTCTTGTTTGTCACTTGCGTTTTAGATGTTATTCTGCGTTTCTGCCTATGTTGTTTTATGAATCAATGTTTTGGCTACTGAGAACTGAACACCATCATTCTACACGATACCTAGAGACGAGTTACATCTTAACCATTCTACTGCACATGACTCCATTGTATAATCGTATGGAAAGCAATCTATACGCAACGTGGTGCGATGGTTTGTGTGCCTTAGTGATCCATTGAGCTATGCTGGGTGGTGCTTTTTGCACCTTCAGAGCCACACATACCAGATTGGTCAATGGTTAGTGGCCAGACAAACACAGTCTCCTAGCCCTCCAGGTTGGGGGTTGGAGTGAGGGTGGCTCCTTACTCCATAAAACGTGCTCTCTGGATTCCACTACCAAAACTTCGCTGCCTTGCGATCAAGCTTTTAAACCAAAGGCTTTGGTTAAGAACCCTAATCGTTCTCCGGTTTAGGCCTGGGCAACCTGACAGTATTCTGCTCATGCAACACAATGAACCTTTCTTCTAACAATTTCTTGTTGCTCTTTCCGTCGCAGAGGATAATCAACGGCGCCCTATCTCCTGCATCGAGCAGAGTGGATAGGGGTATGGATGCTACCGCTCAGGCATTCCCGCCTTCTCATTTTCCCCTCTTGCTTTTTTTCATCTTTAACATCCCGCTCCAACTTTATTTTTACCCCCCTCTATTCAATCCCCCAATTCTTGGCCGTCCCCCAGCTTGCTTCAATAGTCGCTTGTCTTCTAGCTTCAGATCACACGCAATCGCAGCGCATCGCTCTAATCCAGTCGACAATTCCATGTTCAACCAAGCGAACAACGTCAGTTCATCCGTTTCCCTTTGGAGTCCTCGCGTCTCGCTAAGACTAGCATGTCTCAACGTGCGCACTTTGCTACAGATTGGTCAGATTGGCCATCGAAATGCGAAGTACTTCTCCATGATTGTCAGGAACCCACCCCTGCGCTGAACCTTAGTGATGATTAGCTAAAAGTCATTCAGGAATTCAAGTACCTGGATAGAGACGCATTTAACCTCATGTACAAAATAGTACCACCAACGCGCATTGAATTCGTTTTGAAGGTCAGGTAACAGCCAATTTTCGCACGCATGAGTATAAGTACCCAATACGAACCTTTGGTTTTCTTTATAATTATTCGAGAAGAAGAATGACAGCATTCATAATTAGTGGGCATTTATTTTTGAAAGAAATCTATAAAAAAAGAGGGACGCGACTGCCATCAGTACAGCTAGCAGGTGGAATGATTAATAAACGGGTGGTAAAAAAAAATAGTGTTGTAGTGTGGTGGCGCCTATTATCAGAACAGTCCAGGTTGCGTAGCTGATCAATTACATCGCGCGGCGAGCCGATGCGGTGTGCTGTTCATCGTATCGTCGCCGCGCCGCTGATCATAATATTCTCCTCTGGCTGAGGTTCTATATTATGTGGGTGGCGGCGTCCTGGTTCTGACTTTCCCGTTACTGTGGCCCACCACGAGACCCCCGCCCCTAGAGAGGGACCACGCGTCGTTTGCTCCACCCACAACACCTCTCCTAGCACACACCCCATGTCCAGGGAAAACCCGAAGAAATGAGCCCGGGGCGCATGGAGATGGGATTCACCCCTCTTCAAATGCAAACACGCGCACGCTGGGTATGAGTATCACTCACACACGGGGCTGGTGTGGGACCGGTGCCCGCCCCACTGTGACTGCATAGACACACTTCCAGACACAAACACTGTCACAGAGAGCGTATACCCCGTCCCCTCCGGCAACGTCCAACTGTCTCCTGGAGCCGGTATGGACGAGGAAGTGGGAAATGGACGGGAAGGCTCCTTGTCAACATCCACATCAGCCACAGCCACACTAAGGATATCTACAAACAGCCAATTACTTGAAAGAAAAGAAAAACAAGAATATAATTAGAGTAACACATAAGGAAGCGCTGACATATATCTTAATTTACAGAGCATATAAAATAAGTTGCTTACCATAAATGCGAAGTAATCACGCGAGTAAAGAATTTTTTTTTTACAGAAAACACACACACAAAAATATTTTATCGAAATTAACTACAGCTGGCTTAACGGGTGTGTGCAATTGTATAAAAGAAAGAATAGGTAGGCATTTATATGGGAAAGAAAGGAATTAGGAAAAAATTGAAAACCCACCATCTGAAAAAAAGAGATAGAGCATACAACCACGCTGTTAAAAAATAGTATGCAGCGTACCTACACCCTGCGCGTCGTTTCTCCCTCCTCTCTCTGTGCGACCCGTCCTCGCGTCGGTAGTCCCCCCGAGTCGCCTCTCTCGCTCACCAGGACGGCCTGACTGACGCAGGCACTCGCGGATCGTATGTGCTACCGCACCATTCGCTTGATGTGGAGGGAAACCAACCCGTCAGTGCCTGTCCCGTAATCGACGCTTCTTCTCTGTCTGCATGAGGTAGTTTTTTTTTCTGCACTTCCGGCCACTTCGTTCGTAATTCGCTCGCGACATCCACACCGATCCACTGCCTTTGATTGCCATGAAATCAAGACTAGAACGTGAGAGGATCACTTTACTCATGTCATGGTCACGTAACGTTACTTTTGATCATGCCACATCCCGACATCCGATACTCAGCTTACCAGTTTTATAGGTGTTTCCGTTTTCGCCCTGAATCTCACATGACCGAGTCATCTAAGGTTTTGCAGTGAAAGTATAACGGTCACCAGTCCAATGCTTCCTTTTCGCTTTATCGCCACGTTTCCGCGTCTGTAACTGCGACCGCGACGCATACTCCTCATCCGTTGCAATCACTGTTGACGCGCCCGATATAGATATTCAGCACGACGCCGCTACATCGTCCACTTTTCACTCGCATATAGGAACAGAGACAGTAACTGAGAGAGTTGCAGTCTCAGTTTTGTTACAACGCTATTCGTTGTTTTGTTCCACATTCTGTACTCTAGCTTCGCGGATGCATTCGAGACGTGAAGCTGAAGCCCACTGCGCTGCTGCGCGGCAGTCGACATCCCACTGCCGTAGTAGCAGAAGGGAGTGGTTGATACCACTACAGCAGCAATGATGCTGGGCCGCAGTTATAATTGAGACTGCACCGCCGGTGAAGGCAGAAAGAGACTGTTTTTTTTGTTTTTGTTGAGAGTGAGCCCGTCGTCCGTCGCTGTCGAAGCCATAGTACTATTCTGCTGCTGCTCCTCCTCGGCGGTTCGTAACAACAACTCACAGGCGACCACAAACAGACAGATAGATATATTTCTCACACAGACTAGAGCTCTCACACCAAAGATGCTGATGATCAGCCCACCAGCATCAGGATGCTCCTCCACACCAACACCATAAGCAGCAGCGGCATGAAAGGCACAAAATAATTGTACATAAGTATTTGTATTAGCAAGAGCAGGAGCAAAGCCATGGCTTTCCTTAAAACCAAAACGAAAGGCAACGTCATCCGAGTTCCTCCACACTCATGCGCACTCGCGCTCGCATAACACTGCACAGACATTAAACTAAACATACAAACTTAGCCGGCAAACCAAACTAACCCAAATCCATTCACATTGCCTCGCGGTTCACCGAATCAATTGAATTGGTGAAATAAACAAAAGGCCAATACATGGGCTGGTTTTGTTCTCTGCACTTGCCTTGCAACTGCCGAGCTCAAAAAACCAATTCTATAGTGCTCCGACCCGAACGGAATCCACATTGCTCTTCCGCCAGGTTAGGTTCCCCAACCGAACAGATGGGGGGGTAGAGCAGGATTCGGGCATTAACCTTGCCCACCAAACCCGTCAACTTATGGCCACGATAATTCTGCTACCATTGCTTGTTACCTTTGCGCTGTTACAGTAAGCACGAAGGCATCCCTTCAGTCCGGAAGCACCTCCCCCTCCATCCCTACGGGTTGCAACCAGGTGGTGCAGGCCATCAACAAAGGCGGTCCCACCTTTTTTAATACATCACGGGGGAGCCGCCGGCAGCTTTTCTGGTATTATCAGAGAGAGGCGCGAGTTTCACGTGTATAATATATTACAATAACAGTTTACCCTTTTTTTGTGAACTCCGCTCTTCTCGAGGTGGGGGGCTGCGTTCTTTTCGCTAGCTCTCATCTGGGATGGGCGAGCGGCGCCTCTCCACAAAAAAACGGCGGTGACATCTTTTTGCGGCGCACCCATATACTCATAATATCGCGCGTTTTTATGTGTATATCTGTGTATTTTTTTTGCCGTGAGAAGTGGGGGTGACGCGTTTATAGAGGGGAGCCTTCTTTTTTTTTAAACCTTTTTTTTTGTTGATGTTATGCGTACCCCTAAGGGGTTCTCTTGAGCGCATTTAATATTTTGCGCAGAACCGTGCGTTGACAGGATTCCATAAAAGTTAAGGAAAAGGAGTGGAGTCAAGTACACCTCCGCCGCCTCTTTTTTCCCCTAAGGTGTAGATGTGGGAACACTCTTACTTTTACGAAGGCGGGCTCTAGGTAGCAGTCTATCTCCTTGTGTCAAAAACTGGTGCACCTAAGAAAGAAGCGATGATTAGAACAAGAGGTCACTAGTCTGTTTTCATTATCTGATCGACTGCTAACGAGGTTAAAACTACCCCCAAGATAGTGCTTACTTGGTGGCAGGCGGCCCACTCGCGCATTTAAAGCTCCAGCAAAATTGACACTTTTTAGCGGAACGCAGAACGTCTTGTACTTGTTGGTAAAAGCAGTCCTTGACTGCTTTCGGGCTGCCAT